GGCTCTTCGTGATGACGGCGAGATCTGATTCCGGTGAATCAATTTCAGAGGCTACTTCGATTTCTATGGAAGAATTTGTAGAAAACTCGCCGAAGATCGTTTCTTTTCCGCCATTAGAGACCGACTTTGCTGAAGAGATGACCCCAGAGAAGCAGGTAAAGTCTTCGCCTTTTGCTTCTGTTTCTGAGAAAGATGGAGAAATCATTCAATCCGATTCTGTTCAAGCTTCTTTCTCCGAAACAAGTTCGTTGCTTTCCAAAGAACCCGAAGCGATGAATGTGGATTCTCCTCAAGCCCTTTCTTTACCTGAAACTGGTTCGACGTTTCTTGAAGAACCCTGCTCTGAGATTTCTAAAGAAGGCGATCAATTTGGAGAAGATGATGATATGCGTAAGATCGAGGAAGTTGTTGGGTCCGTTGTTTCTATCTCTGAAACTCTAGGGTTTGAACAGGAAAGCTTGATCTCCGAGAAGAAAGAACAAGATTGCGATGCTCAGAGACTTTTGGAGGCAGAGAAGAGAAGATTGTTGGCTGAAATCGAAGTTGGGTCAATTTTCAAGAAGATGGTTGATGTTGACTCTAAAGAGCATCATGAGACGAAGGAAAGAGTGAGAGTTAAGGATAATGCTTTTGTTGGGAGATCTATGAAGATCGAATTGGTTGATGATACTGCGTTGCTTAATGTTGTTCCTTTCTACAAGAAAGGTAAAGATCATCATCCTAAGAGACCAGGAACTTCACACGCTGATAAGGATGCACCAAGAAAGCATAAGAAAGTCGGAGAGAAGCCAGTTGGTGAGAAGAAAGATAAGGGAAATGCATCAACCAAAGTTTCTGAATTTCAGAACCGTGGTGATACGAATGGGAAGCAGTTGCGGATAATGTACTCGAGGAAACAAATGGAGTCGATGAGGTTTGCTCACGTTGCGAATCAGAAGAAACTGTGGAGTGATATGTATGCTAAGCTCCTACCTGAGCTGGTTAGTGAGTACGAAGGTCTAGTTAGCTTGAAGAACCAGAAGACTTCAAAGGCTAATCAGAGAGAGAGTGGCATCGGTATTCTCGGTACCCTCTACTTACTTTACTTTTCTTTTATCTTATCTGCTGCAGTTTGTGTTGTTGCCTGTTGTTGATTGAACATGTTAAGAAAAAGTTTAGGTCTAGGAATATATGACTCTAGTTTTAGATTAGCTTGCTCATGTATCACCTTAAGCTATATCTGATGCATATTGTGTGTGTGGTGTCTCTGACTGTCTCTCTGCCTATACTCAAATGGGTTTCTTTGCTACGGTTTTATGGTGTTTTCTTTCTTAAACCCAGTCGCATTTAGTGTCAGTGAGTACTCTTTCTCAAATGTGAGTACTGTTCCCAAGTATCTCTATCTAAACCACTTCAATGTTTTTAATCCTCTCTAGCCTTTTGAAGATTTTGATGTCTGTTATTTCTGGTCTAGAGCTCTTATCTTTGTTCTTCATTTATCCATTCTCTCCTCGGCTCCAGAAAGATGTCGTTTTGATAGGGGCCTTTTGTTTTCTTTTCCACAGGTCCCATATCAGCTGTACCAAGACGAAACCATGTGAATATCTTTGTACATTGAGCCCGTGAGCTGAAGAAATCTGTCAAAGTCCTTTGTTCACCAAATTTCCCTATTCTAAGACACCTCAGTCATTCTTTCTGTATATAGATTCTTTGTACATTGAGCCTGTGAGCTGAAGAAAACCGTTTTCTTTTTCGCTTCCATGAGCTGACACCTCATTCATTCTTTCTGTATATAGATTCTTTGGTTCAGTTTGTATAGGGGAGTAGAGGAGTTCTTTTGGTTCAGTGTGTAGCGCCATGATTCTTTGGCTAAAGTTGTACATGTTCATACATCTTAAATAAAATCAAAACCTTTGAAAGCTAATTCTTTTTCTGGCCTTAGTTCTTATCTGCTTCTACTCAAGTTCGCTTTTATACACCGAAATTCCAAATTTGACTTATTTTCTTCATGAGAAAATTTAGGCACCAAAGACAGAATGGATGACTTAACTCTTGAAGAAGAAGAAGAGTACACTGAAGATAATGACGATTACAATAGCATTTTGAGACCTGCGTTTGCGGTGGATGGAGAACCTGATTTTGATTCTGGACCACCAGAGGATGGGCTTGAATACTTGAGACGAGTAAGGTATATTTGTCTCTCTGTTTACATCTTTCTGTGTATCTTCATTTTGGCATATATGATTAAGTTGTTTCCGCATTTCAGGTGGGAGGCTAAGCAAATTCCGAATGTAAGAGTAGCCAAGATAGATGGAAGCAAGTACATAAAAAAAGAGCAAAGCGTTTACATGCCACAAATCCCTGAAATCCCCAAATGCCCAGAGCACCTGCTGCCGATAAAGGAATGGGAGGACTTGTTGCTTTCCGACTTTTTAGACCTTCGCCTGGTAATTTTCCCTTTCTTCTAACTTGCATACTATCTTTGTTTCTCTGAATGGACAATAAATGAAGGTAAGTGTTGATTGGTTTTTTTTTACAGGCTTTATCAGAAAATGCCAACATGTGCGAGGATGAGATAATGTCGAGTCAGTCTACAGAAGATGTGCTTATGGAGATATTCAATAAGCGTCTCCAGGCAGTGACAGATGAGTCATTAGGTGAGTTGGTTTCAGACATACAAGGAATGGACTCGGTGACACGGGTATCAAAACTGAAGAAGCGGATTAGTTTGGTTGAGAATGAGAGCGGTTTAGAGAGCAGTGACTTCAAATGGGTAGTAGCATTATGTGCATCGGTGGACACCCCATTGGATGCTGATACTAGTGCTTCTCTCAGGGCTCTTCTGAGAAAGTGTGCGAGTCTTCGCGCTTCAGAAGTTGAAGATGAACAAGTTATCATCATGGCAAATATGCTCATCACTATTGCAGGTAGATATTTTGGCCAAATGGAATAAGAAAAGAAGTGACTTTATTATGCAAACTTTGTTCTGGATATTGTTGAAATGGATTTGACATCATCTTTCAGCACAATTTCCATCGAAGAATTAAAATATACTTATTTTTTTACTTCTAAGTTTTTAAATACTAAAAAATTATAGGCTTAAAAAAAACGTTTTAAGGGTCCAAAGCAAGTCGCCGACATACAATCCAGTAGGAGACAACAAAACCGACACGCAAGTTGAAAAGTGTGGTAAATAGAAAAAACGGCACGCAATCTGGGAGGAATTTGAT